AAAAAGTGTAGGCGATTCGTGATTGTAATAGAAATACTAAATGTAAAATTAGAATGAAAACTCAGCTGATTTGATAAAGGCAGTCAGTTGCTTCAAATGCCTAAAGTTACCAGCACGAAAAATTTCATATAAATTGTTATACAGGTTAAATATACTGAGAGATTGTCTAAGGATGTCAAACCTCCTGCACTCAAAAATAAAGTGCTCGGCAGACTCAGTAATATTGCAATCCTCATAGATGTCAGAGGAGGAGACTTTGATCATTTTAAAATAGACCTTGTCGTAGGTGTGATTACTCATAAGACGGTGAAGAACTTTAAATTCCCATGTTGTGAATTTTCCTTTAGGTAGAAGTGTGGGTGTCAAAAAAGGGTAAATTTTGTAGAACAGCCGGTCACTTTTTTCTCTAGCTAAAACATGATACTCATCTTTCCATTCTTTTATGATGAGTTTTTTGACTAGCAGAAAAGCTTCGCTGGGGGGGGTAGTTTATGGACGAAACTGTACCATCGAACCTAGCTTGATGAGCATGGAAGTCAGCTTTTTCATTGATACTAGAACCGCAGTGACCTGGGATCCAGATGATGTGGCATTTTTCAATACTCGGGTCTTTTAAAAGGTTGTAGATATCGAAGACATACTTATTGAATGGGTCTTTATTCTTGATTAAAATTAGAGCAGATTATGTTCAGTATTCATTTATGATGAGAACAAAAAATATAGTATTTTTTCTTTTATCCAATTTATTTAGTCTAAATTAACTTTCAATTTTACTTAATTCCAGTTAATTAATTGACGCTAATTTTAAATGTGTGCCAAAAACTCGCGTTAACGCGCAACGCAACATAAGCTACATGCTCAACTACATTCAAATGCACTTTATTTTGACACTTCGTGAGTCACGCATAACGCAAGCATTGCGTCAGCTTTTAACGCGATGAAACTAAAAGCAGCGAGAACTTAACGAAAAGCTTATGATAAGGAAGAATAAAAAGAATTCCTCGTATGCGAAATTTATTAAATGATTTCCAAAGCATCCTGTGTCTTTTACATTAGAAATAAAGATTGCAAACTTACTGCAGTGTTTGGTTCCCCTAAAGTCGATTTCGATCTCTAAGATGGAAAAAGATACAAAACATGGCAAATTGTCAATAAAGCCATCAATACTCAACACATCATTTTCTATTTTTATTTAAAATTTTTTTTTACATTAACTACTGTTTTGGTTGACGGAAATTTACAATCTTTTTTGAACTTGCATCGTAGCTGTCAAAATTACTTTCGTTTGTCGTTTACAAATAATCGCTTCAATTTTAAAGCTTTTTGCATTTTATTTCATCTGAGAGAAGAATCAACGGTTTATTTTTTTGACTTTGCCAGCTTCTTTTTCTACTTCTTCGTCCACCGTGAGTTGTAACAATGAAAACAATGGCAAAAGTCATACGTAATGCCAAAAAGGAGGATAGTCAACTTTTTTGTCGAAGCGAAAAAAAGTTTGTCAAAAGATATGCAAATAGTGCCGCGACTGTTTCTAGAACTTTGCATTAAGAAAGTTGCACAATTATTATTAGTGTCAACCGAACCGAAACAAAACGGATATGAAACTAACACACATGAAACACGCCCTAAGAAAGTAAAATCTATCTCCATAGTGTCCTAAAATTTTCGCAAGATTTTTTCATTTTTTTTAATGAATCATAATACACCACTCTCTGTCTATTTCATCCAAATACCGTTACTGCCGTTATTGCCAAAAGGCCATCATTTCCATGAGTTGCTGTTGTAATAATTTAAGCACAGTTAAAACTGAATGTAACCTCCTGTAAAAGTCGTTCTCAACATATGCTCCTTTAACATATGCTATATTCAGGATTTAGTGAAAATGAAAACAATCTTGTTATTGTTTGTTTGAATAATAATATGTGGTATTCTTAATAACTCAAATATAATGACAATCTAAAGCACTCTGTATGTAGTAAAAGCATTTCCGTACTTCGAAAAAAAGAACTTTTATAGAACGTACATAATATTGAGTGCAAAAGCTTTGGCTTTGCATTCCGTTCCGTTCTGATTTGTTTTTTTCTCAGCAAAAGAAAATTTATAATAAAACAACAAATTAAGATACTTTAAGCTTAATTTAAATACACATTTCCAATAAGCATTTAAATGTTAACATGGAAGATATTGAAGCTAGATTACGAAAAATTAAACATTCAAATTTGACCAGAAAGCAAATATTATATATAACGCTACAATAATTAGGAAGTGTTTAAGTTTTATCCGTCAATAGTAAGTGAAGATATTATTAAACTTACAATTTACAATAATTGCACATTTTAAATTCTGGACAAGATTGTTTACGTTTCATTCACTGTAAACCAAGAATTTTGCTGACCTGATGCAAACGTTCAATTGGACTGTTATCAATACTTATCGTTTTCAATCATGTGCTTTCAAAAGACATAAATAACTACGTAATTTTGCAACGTTGTGTGTTAAATAAATTTGACGGAATTTGGAAAGTTGAAACTTTTTTGGTTATGCATCAGTATGAAATATAAAAAAGAAACCTCAAAATAATTTCAGAGTTTTAAGAATGGAAACATCGAGAAAGTTACGAGGTACATGTTCATATACATATATATATGTATAGATATATATATACATATACGTTTTCAAAGTAATTATTAAACGTAAAGCCTTTTTAGTTACTTCTGGGTTTCAGTGTCAGTGTTGTTTATAATTTTCTAGTTCTATAGTTACTATAATCAAAATTCAAGTTTTACATATACTTTCTAGTGCATTGTTGCAAATATTTCCGAAACTTATAAGAAGACGTGGAACTTGTAAGGCACAATATATCATGAAGACAAAATGTCATCGAATAAATACCGAAGGAATTTAAAGTTGAGGAGACAATGTCACGACGAATTGCAAAAATCCACTAATGGATCAAAATTATTAAATGTATTATAGGATCTGCTATAAGACATTCCCATTTATGCCTATATCAAGTTAAGGAGCTCATCGGAAATTTGAAAAAAATTGAGAAGATTTACGTGGCCACCAACGAAATCCAAGAATGATAGTAAATACATATATAACGGATCTAAGAAAACAGAGCATTGATATATATGAATATATATTATATATTAAATATATATTAATATCCTTTGAAAGTTTTAGATGAAGTTAACTTCGTATGGCATCGACTAACGGAATGGCAAAAACCAAAGCAAAAAGTGAGCAGAACATTATTGCTATAGGTAAAGCCTAGTCCTTGTGTGTTGTATGTTGGATGAACTTATTAACGTGCTCAATTCAAGAATCTAAAAATGCTGGTATTTTGTTATGGAATTTGCGGCAAAAAAATATTTCTATCTGCAAACACGGTTTTGTTTGATTTGCCATTTAACAGCCATCAGTTACACTCTTTATAGACCCAAGCTAATAATACAACTAAATACAATGGACAATGGACGTTTTTTTGATGGATCCTCAAAGCTAGTGTGTCAAGTTTTTGAAGCTAAAAGTTTCCAGTATTTACACAAAATTGAGAAAAAACATCGACTGGAGATATCTTTAAGGAACGTCAAGCAGTTGCAAGATAATTGCATTTTTCTTTATATAAGAATCTCAAGTTCTCCTTGAGGATGAACGGATTTCATTTGCCAGCAACGGATTTCATTTGCCAGCAAAGTTAAGCACTTTCGTTTCCTTTATTGCGTTCTACGAGACATTTAAGATACGGTGCCATTGAACATTGATAGATTATCGTTTGCAATACATCCACTAATCGTTGTGGTCAAAGTAATGGCGACAAAAGCAGAAGTGGCTCGCCCATTAAGTGAACCGTAAAAAAAATTCAAATGACTGAAACAATTAAAACTTAACTAGAAACAAAAAGCTATGATTATTGAGGTTTTCCAACCATTAGAGTGGTGCGTTGTTGTCCATCCTCTTCATTCTGACGTTCTTGGATTGGTTTAAAAAATAATAAATTCAACGTCTAAACTTCGATTTTACTGTATAGAGCGAATATCCTATATCTTCGATTTATTCACTATTTGCGTAGATCGCTCCGTATTTCAGTAGCTAGAAAACAATGTCATATGACTTATACACGACATTAAATCATCTGACAATTGAGTCGGAGAATGGTTGATTTTGTGCCAAGTTCAAATATTTAATGCAAAGGTGGAAAAACTGTTACAATTTGATAAAGTTTGTATCGTTTCCATATGCTACCCTAGTAATAGTCACCCTAGTAATAGTCTAATTGACCCATTTAACTATTGCTTTTACAAAGTTGAATTTAATAGAACCATCGCTTTGCAACGTGCAATGTTTTCGCCAGAGAAAGAAAATGTAGAACGGTCGTATTCTAAGACACTGTTTACACATGCGGTGATTTCACAAACTAAAGAACGAATACATATGTGTGTATGTAAATAATTGAGAGCGAGATAGACGAAAAAATATTTTTTTCCTCAAATATATGTATATCTAATTGGATAAATAAAGAAATTTTTTCACCCCGATTATTATTATATTTCGATTGTATGCATCGAGCTTATCAGCTTATATTATAACATATATAAAATATTGAGTTTGAAAAATTTACACTCAAAATTGAAAGAAGAATCTCATGCATTATTGCGAGTCGATGAGTCAGTTCTTTGCAAAACAATTGTTGCACGTGTAAACAGCTTGTAAGTTTATTTGTGCAGCACAGCACATCAGTCACATCAGCCACTAGCAGTTAATTATTCTCTATAATATCGTGTTGGTCTGTCGGTCGTCGTTTCTTTGTGTTTTTATGCTTTTTTCGTTTCAAATAGTTTATCTTTATTAAAAATTGTTCTGCAATTAATTGCATTTTGAACAATCTTTAACACACAACACCTTCAACTGTGGACTAACTAACCGCCGCTATTTGCTGCTCCAGCTGTTGCCAATTTTTACTAAAAATTCATTTTGTTTTTTTTTTTTTTTTTTTTTTTTGTTTTTTTTATCTTTTATTTTTTGCTAATTAAAATTATTTCTGTTGGCAGGGAATGAGTGTGTGTTTGCAAGAGAGAAAAGAAGCAGAAGCATATTAAAAGTGAGGAAAGTCGGCAAACATAAAAGTATTCGCATAGATATCACGTGAGCATTACGTGAGCAAGAGAAGCAATACGATTTTATTTTTTATTTTTCATATTAACAATAATAAAACACAACATTCAATATTGAAAACAAAACGAGCAATCTCGAGCGCAAGACGAATTCGAATTCGCATTGGAAACTTCGCGTACGTAAAATGAATAATTTAACAGACACTCCGGTACCGGATCCCGGTTCTGGCGGGGATAAAAAGGAATCTAAACAATCGAGCGCATTAAAAAAAACTAGCCGCTACCGCAGTCGTTCGCTGTCAGCATCGTCGACAGACTCGTTCTCGTCCGCTTCGTATACAGGGAGCAGTTCTGACGACGGTGACGATGTACCTCCACGCGAGAAGGTTCAAAAAAACTCGAAAGGAAATGCCGATTTTTGCGTGCGTAATATAAACCAGCAAGGCTTTGGTAGGCGAGAAATTGAGATAGCTGAACAAGAAATGCCCGGCATTATGGCATTACGAAAGCGTGCCGCTGACGATAAGCCTTTGAAGGATGCGAAAATTGTCGGCTGCACCCATATTAATGCCCAAACGGCCGTTCTTATTGAGACTTTGGTTGAGCTGGGCGCTTCTGTTCGTTGGGCTGCTTGTAATATTTATTCAACTCAGGTAAGGATATTGAAAAGAACGCGAACGAACCTTAAGCATATCTCTCCCCTTGTAATGTTTATCAAAATTGCGTTCCCTATCCTCCAAAACTTACATGATTACATCATGCATAACTATAATGAAAAGTACAATATTCTGTCTCGTTATGGTGTCTGCATTTCTCACGTTATAGCAAAAAATCAATTAAATTTTCCAGTTGTGAATGCATGCACACGTACATAGATTACCTTCACATTTTTTTTTTATTTTTTGTTTTGTTTTTATATCTCATCTAAAATAGATTGCGGTTGCTGTTTGTACATTATTTCTCTTTTATTATCTTTATGGCATCTGCTGTCATTGTCGTCAATGTTATTACAGGAAAAGCATTATTATAATGATTACGTAAAATTGTTTATTAATTTAAAAAGATATCTAATGTATGTAACACGAACAGTTTCGGAATTATTTAATAATGAAAGGCATACGTACTTACTAGTAGTAAACAGTAATTATCCTTTAAAGGCAGTTTCGGCGCTTCCTTCAACTTTTACAATTTTCAAACGGTCAAGTTTTCGCGAAGTACTCGAAAATTTATGTCTCACGTAAATATCGACTTCCCTTAATAACGACATCTTTTTGACAACAACAAAGTGCGAATACGTTTTTTCTTCGTCCGAACAATAATGCAGAGATTAAAAGGCACCATTTTTTTTTATTAAATAGCACTCTTGCTCGTATCGCCCATCGACACGATTTAATCATATAGCTTAATAATTTTTAGTCTAATGTTTTACTTTCTTCTTCAAGCGTTCTTCGTTCGGCTCGAATCTTTTGTGCAGGCACCTTATGGGTTAAAAACAACTACACTTCTGGTAGCTCTCACATATAAATTTGGTGCTTTACCTCCAAAACACTCTCCACATACGACTGTTTACAAAATGCAAAAGTTATTCCAACAATCAGCAAATCTCTTTAATAGGTCGTTATCCGGTAGGACTTTTCTTCGCGCTCTTTTTTTCGACTTTTGTGATTTTCTTATTACAAAGGTAGCCTAGCCTTTTTACCCAGTTATTCTCTCAAACTTGTATCGAATTAAGATAAGAACTTTGCTTGGGATTCGAATTTTGCGAAATTATGCGAGATGTTTAACATTAGCAATCGAATATTTGTCTGATGTATGATGTGTGATGATGATCTGTCCTTAGGTCGATAATGTTGAGTGCTAATATAATAGTCGTTTAAACAAATGACGCATTGTCCAGCACTCAATCCAGTTAATTGTATGGAACAGATGAAGTACTTTAAATATCGTTCTTCTGATGTCATTAATGCGTATATTAAAGCATTGTCAAAATGTTGATCGTCAAGTCGACTTCAACGTTTTTTTTGTTTATCATAAACCAGCTGATTACAACACTCACACACACGCGTACAAAACAAAAACGTCGATCGTAAAGAGCTTTCATAAAGAAATTTAAAGGCTAAAAGAAGGGAAATGTGTTAGTTAGCCAGCCAGTCCGTCAGCTCGCCCGCTCGCTCGCTCTCTCTTCATTGCTTGTTTTTTATTATCGCATTTACCATAAGATTTATGTTTCAGAATGAAGTAGCAGCCGCTTTGGCCGAATTAGACATTCCAATTTTTGCGTGGCGCGGAGAAACCGAAGAGGATTTCTGGTGGTGTATTGATCGTTGCGTCAATGCCGAAAACTGGCAGCCCAATATGATTCTTGATGATGGAGGTGATGCCACGCATTTAATGCTTAAAAAATATCCGACCATGTTTAAATTGGTAAAGGGCATTGTGGAAGAGAGCGTTACCGGTGTACATCGTCTCTATCAGCTGTCGAAAGCTGGCAAATTAACGGTACCAGCAATGAATGTTAACGACTCGGTGACAAAAACGAAATTCGATAATCTTTATAGTTGCAAGGAATCAATTTTGGACAGCTTAAAACGTTCAACGGACGTAATGTTTGGCGGTAAACAAGTGGTCGTATGCGGTTACGGTGACGTTGGCAAGGGCTGTGCACAAGCGTTAAAAGGACAAGGTTGCATTGTTTATATAACAGAAATTGATCCAATTTGCGCTTTGCAAGCCAGTATGGATGGCTTTCGTGTCGTAAAACTAAACGAGGTCATCCGCAATGTGGACATAGTAGTTACGGCCACCGGCAATAAGAATGTCGTAGTGCGCGAGCATATGGATAAAATGAAAAGTGGATGCATTGTTTGCAATATGGGTCATTCAAATACGGAGATTGATGTGAATAGTTTACGAACACCCGATTTAACTTGGGAGAAGGTACGTTCCCAAGTCGACCACATCATTTGGCCAGAGGGCAAATATATTATTTTGCTTGCCGAGGGTCGTTTGGTGAATTTGTCTTGCTCCAGCATACCTTCGTTTGCTGTGTCAATTACTTCTGCCACTCAGGCCTTGGCTCTGATTGAGCTCTTCAATGCACCTCCCGGCCGCTACAAATCCGACGTTTATTTATTACCCAAAAAAATGGACGAATACGTAGCCAGCTTACATTTACCCACATTCGACGCTCACCTTACTGAGCTGACCGATGAGCAGGCCAAGTATATGGGTCTCAATAAAGCTGGACCATTTAAGCCCAATTACTATCGCTATTAAACGATAAGAGTAAGAGCCAACCGATATTAGTGTTGACAAATTTTGTTAAGAGCAGCTGCGCACACTCAAAAAGCACGTAATATATATATATATGTATATTATATTATATATATATATATATATTATTAATTTTTTTTTTTTTTTTTTTTTTTTTTGTTCTTTATATTTTTGACAACAAATACAAAACAGCAATGCTGATTACGAAATATGAAATTCGTAGCAGCACCTGAAATAATATCCAGGAATGCAAATAACTTATATACATAAGGAGAAATTCCACGAGAAACTTCAACATAAAAGTGCTTATTTTTTAATGCCATTCGAAATTATTGTGAAAAAAAAACATTTTTAGAATGATAAGTATATCGAAAAAGTGACAGTCCGCCCAAGTGGCGCTTATTGACGAATAAACGAACTCTATGTAGATTTATAATCATTTGACTAACAAATAATTAATGATAATGAAGATAAAATTAAGCAGAATTCAATTTGGAACTCTTTGCTGCGCTAATTGAATTTACTATTTTTTTTTAAATCTTACAAACAAAAACTGAAATAAGTAAAATATTCACCGATTCAGGTATTCGCCGCTCCATAGGGGCCCAACACAAAAATATGTAGCACGCAGTCAACAAACTTTTGTAATGTTTTTAAATTTGATGAAATCCAATGCTTTTTTTGCATTTATTTTTTCCAAACAATAAATTTATTTATTCCAAATTATTTATGGTTTCAAGGGTACTTTTTAAATACTTAAGAAAAATGCATGATAACGTACGATGAACGCTTATTTTCTTATTGGTCGGAATATTAGGAGACGCGAAAATGCCAAGCAATCGGCTGGCTTCATGCTTAAGCAGACAGGGTGGCCAACTCCGAATACTCTGCGCTTAAGCTTCGTGGGCAAAAGTATTATAGAAAGCGAACACGTTAAAGGACTAAAGATCATCAGAATATTGCTTTAGACTACGTGCGATTCTTTCCTTCTTCTTCTAATCCATTCTTTTGAATTCCTAGTTTTAACTTTTTTTTTTTCTGTGTTTTTACCTAATACAACCTAATATTCCCCCGGGCAGAAAATAATGGATTTTTTTATTATTTTTAGTAAAAGCTATAATGCAAATAGTATGGAATACTTTAACTTTAACAATTAACTGATGGAATTTAATGTATAACAACAAAATATTTTGGTGTTCAATACAAACGTATTTAAGTATCCGCTGCAGTGTGCTTTACATAAGCTAATAATAATAATAATAATAATAATAATAATGATGATGAAGCACCGAATGGAACCGAAATGATAGCGGGGAGAAAAGTTGTAATGAAGAACGAATACGAACAATAAATATAAAAAACTTTACTATTAATGTTTAAAAACACAGCAACAACAACAATAATAAAGTTATCATTTTATAAATTAGCAAAATCTTGACGTTATCCTTATTGCGGTGAGATGCGTTGAACCAAAGTTCTTATGCAAGTGTTGCAAAAAGTCGGCGGCACACATACGAGTAGGTTCAATTTCGAAACTAAAGCAATGTCCACTTCGTCGAGGTGATATGGGGAACGGGAGAGCTGGTAATCGCTGCTCGTTAACACTCTCGCTCTCTAAATAAAACACGATTGTTTTTTTAAAGAGAATCTTATTTTTAATTTGAATCAATCTTTTCATGTATAGTAAGTATTCATTTTATTTCCATCCGCAGAGCTTAATTGAAATTCAAAATTACATGTATTTAAGTTACTTTAGAACGTTCTTCCATCTTTTAATTCAGTTTATTAGCTTTGTTTGGAAAATTAAAACCAGTGCTTATAATCATAAAATATCATTTAATGCATCATATATAATTGCTTTTATTGTTGGTTTGAAAACAACAACAAGTAGTCTGAAGACTAAGATTTTTAAGTGTCTCCTTTGCCTGCTTAATTCCTTAATTTACTTAAGATTATTAAAAAAAGTAGTTATCTGATTACAAACCGTTTCAAAAATATTTGCCTTTTGGTGTTATAAAAAATCTAAAAGATGGAGTCGTTTGAACATAAAAATGCTGGAAATTCTTCCAAGTTACAGTTACCATCGTAAAATGCATTAATGCGCGCAAGAGCATTAAAAATTGCAACTTGAATACAATTTTTAAGGAATTTTTTTGATTTTTATAAAATACCGATTTAAATTTTTTTTTTGTCTTTGTTTTTCTAAACGAAAATATTAAAGAAACTGAAAGCATGTGACAAAAATTTGAATAGTAAAAAAAAAAAAAATTAATTTGCAAGAGATTAAAAACTACTGAAATTGCCAAATATTGACATCGGCAATGGCTGTTACTTTTATATTCCCCTTAACGGCGCGTCAGTTTATTCCAGGAAATGTGGTTTAAGGTGTTTCAACATACCAAAGGTGCGGAAGCGTTTTACCTTCATTACCTTCATTAGTTCGTCATCGCATATGGCAAATTGCTTGTTCTTAGGATCGTACAAATTGCGCTCCTTAATAATGGCCCACACTTTTTTAACTACCTCATGGCGTGGCAGGGCATCGGCACCCATTAGAGCCGATAATTCCGGTGAAAGATTATAGGATCTGGTAAAGCCAGTCGATTTGCGACCAGACGAACCCTCCTTATTAGCGCTGCTTTTCTTCTTTTTGGCGGTTGCCTTTTTTTTGGGTACTTCATAATCTGAATCAGAGCCGCCATCTGATTCGGTGCCAGAGTCCGAAGCGTTTAGTGATTTGCGCTTCTTCTTTGCAGGAGCCTTGCGCTGTGTCGGCTGAGCACGTTTCTTAGTATTCTTTTTCTCATCTTCACTGCTGGCATCATCGTCATCCTCCTCTTCATCCGAACCGCTGGCATCATCGTCATCATCTTTGTCGTTTCCGGAACCTTCGTCGTCTTGCTGTGAATTAATGAAATCCATCACAATCTTGTCAAATTCCTTTTTACGACTCAATAGCGAACATTCCAATTTTTTCTCAACTTGTTCGCGAACCTTTTTGGCCGATATTACCGATAAATCGGCTGTTTTCAATATTGCATGAATTTCATTTTTTAATTCTTCAATGGAAATGTCGGCCATTTTGTTGCAAATCGCGCTGCACTATATAAAATATTTTATAATTTTTTTTTTTAGTCGTTTTTACGCAATCTAGAAATTATTTTTAATATTTTAGATTTCCTTCGACTTTATTTGATAATTTCTTAAGCAACAGTACTTGTAATGCCAGAGACAAATTTATGACGGAAAAAAAATTTTAGCGTCTTTTTCCCAACTCACATTACCAATTCAGTGTTGGTTTATATATGTATGCTGCAGCAATGCTTAATTGAGTGTAAAAAGCCGGCAAACAATTCACGTCATATAACTGCAAGGTATTGTATGTATTCATAAAATATAGACTAAATTGGGGTACTTATCAATGCAACTCTGCAATTTAAAAACGGCAATATAAAATATGCAAACATATCGCATATGTACGTTTTACAAAATGGTTCGTGATAAGATGGAAATAACAATGCATACTTTGCAAAATTTCCTAATACTTGATTTGGCTTAAAAGAAATTAATTTTTTATACTTTACCCTTCGATTTTAAAATATATGATATAATCTTTCTGATTAAAGCGTTTTCACGCTCATTTAAATTTTTAGGCGAAAACAGTAGTTGGCAACACTTTGACCGAATGAAAGCACAAAATAAAATGTCAACAAACTATGAAAAATCTACGAAAGAGCAACCATAGTATGATAAATAGGATAAAAATAATTTTTGCGACGTCTGTGAACAAAATTGTAAAAATAATTGATAATTTATATTATAGTGCGATAGAAGTTTATAAAAATTACAATTATTCGGGATTAAATTGTGCATCCCGTGCGGTGTCGTTAAAATTAAATGAAACGAGTGCTTAATATAACGTGAAACAAAATTTGGAAATCGGTGCAATTGGGATGAATGCACATACACACATACGTTTAGTTAGCAATTGCAACAATTGTAACTAAAATTAAGCTGACCGACGGTGATCAGCAAAAAGAAAATTAAAAACGGACTTTTTAAGATAAAAAATTGTGAATTAAAAAAAAACAAGAGTTCCTAAATCGCCGGCATAGAGCTGCGCTGTCGAAGCAGAACATCTTATTGTCCGTCGATCTAGGTAAGGTAAGTTATATTGTCGTGTTGTTTATGTAGTAGAAGCAAATGTTTGATTTTTGGATATTTTTAATTTCACTGTGTATTCGAATTCATGTCAGTGAAGAGAATATACCTGGGCTGGGCTTCGTCGCTTGCTTAATTCATTGTTGTCTTTCATTTTAGTTTCGCTTGCTACTATTTTCTTTGTTTACAATTTGTACAACATGTTAGCTTTAAAAGTTATTTTTCTAATTATCTTATAACACTTAGAACGTCTTGTATTTTTGCTTTTTTTCTACCCATGCATCGAATAAATCGAAATATTAGTTCATTTAACGGTATATTTTATGTTTATTACTAAAATATGTAAGTACAAGAGGTTGTAAATAAAAATATCGTAAGCGAATCTACTCGATTCGTTTTGCTTATTAATTAGGCATTAAATATTTATATTGACTTCTTGATTACGATATATATTGGACAATTGTCAGAAAATTTTATAATTTTGTCCGTTTAGACGAGAAGCTTCGGAACTGAAGCTTTCACTGCGATTCATACTTTATTTAGCATTAAACAATGCAAAGCTTCGACTAACACATACTTCTACTCATTCCAGTCTGCATACTTCTGCATACTCCAATCTCTTGATGCGTCATCTATGTTTTAATTACGGAACTTGCTCTATTCTTCATATCGGGTTAAGTACTTGGCTAGCAAAGCTTAATATGCAATATAAGTGCAAATTCTATAGAAATTAAGAAAGCACAAATTGATATGAAGTCTGCGATAAATCCATCATAATGCTTATATGATGTGAAAGAAAATGAAAACTTTTGACTAGTGATATATAGATATTGGAAAGGTAGTTGGGTCACAATTTATTTAAGCTCGCTTTCCGAATTACAAATATCCAAGTGAAAGCTTCTAATGGCAATACGTAGCATAATGAAATTCTTTTTATTTATATTTATTAAAATATTTCTTATATGTTTAATGCTTTAAAAAACAAATTCAACTGGCTATTCACTTAAACAATCATTGGTTTTCCCTAGTATGCAAATCAGAAGTCGATGTCGTGTTTCTGTTTGCTTAACCTGCCAAAATAGGTAAAGAAAATTGCGGATATCGTATGGGGGAGAAGCGGTCGCGCAATGCTTCACAAATTCCCAAGAATTCCAACTTGTGAAATCTGACAGCCAAACAGGGAGTATATTCAAATTGGTATTAATATGCCTACGCCCTCATTACCTTGTGTAGATTGTATGTAATCACAAGACACATTTTGTGGTGACATGTTCTTCTAGCGTATTTACCTTGGATGGCGTGTAAGTACTTCAAAGGAATTGAAAAGTACGCGCTTATGTAATAAAATGTTATCCTTTAAATAGATGGATGTTATAAGATTAGGGCGGGATTTGCCAGCTGTGAGCCTACCTACAGGTTAATAGCGGTTAGTGAAGCTCTTTTGATCACAAGTTATGCAAGTCTGGTTAATAGCGGTTAGAAGAGTCTATTGGTGTGGTTAGTACCATGTAGTCAATGGTTTTATATCTCGTAAAATGTTATAGTGAACTGGATCTTACTTCTGACAACTAAAGAAATAGTGATAGTAAAAATTATCGGACCTTCACTGTTTCGGATGATAGTCTTCGTCAGCTACCTAAGTAGCTCTTTAAAATTTTATCATTTTTTCGACAAAGTCAACTTTATCTCAGTAAGGAGCTTTGTATAAAGTAAATGCAATTTTTTCATGTCAATAGTTGGTACAAAAAAGGATTTTCTTTATAGAGGAGCGCGTACAAAACTGGGGGAAATGGACAGATGATAAAAACGTCAATAATATTAATGACATCATCATAGCACCATAAAGCAAGGAATATAAAATCTCTCGAAAAATGGCAATCAACTACTTTGTAACATTATTAATAGATTGCAAATTTTTCATTGTTTAAGTATATTGATTGCGATAAATTTCGAATTGGCTCGTGAAGAATTCTCAGTTAGATATGCTAGTATGCTCTAGGCCAGCCAGATGTAGAATCGACGGTAGCTTTGCAAATTGCAATACTTTCACATGCGATTGCGGCCTTCCTTTTCAGTTTTCCTCAGAATGTATGTGGGAACATACACTTAAAATTAGTCCTTCCTAGTTAGGAATCTGTTTGCTATTTCACGTTTCAGGCAAACGTCGAACGAAGACTTCACAGCTTGGCGTTGTGTTTAGCTATCTCTTAGCGCTTTGGAAGTAAGAACATTTCACTGTTAAGTGAGTTGAGCAAGTAAGTCTCGCGATGAGAAGAATTTTGCTTGAGTGCATTTATCCCGACATAAGTAACTGAACCGTACATATATTTTTTTTCTATTATGGTTCGTTATCGAGAAGAAAGCAACGAATGACTAAATTGTTTGTTTGTTGTCTCTATGAACACTCTCATATGGCAAATCCAGCAGTTATTCTCACTTATTACATTTTATATAGTAACTAAAGTAAAATCGAAGTTTTGTACCGATATCCCAAGAGTATATTTACCAACTCACAATAACTGCAAGCGAAAGTCCACTTAATTTTCAAATGGTATTACGTACTACATTAACAAATCGCACAAAGAAATCCCCATATTTACCTTTTCTTCTTCTTCTTATTATAACAAAGAGAAATATTCGAAAAAGGGGCGAAATCCAAACTTGTACTATTTTTAATCCAGGCTTTGTCTGGTTTGTTGAAAAAGTGTTTGTGGGGGAAATCCCTAAAACTCAATTTCTTTTGCAAGACAACGAACTAGTGTCGCAGTAAGAAAATTATTAATTCAACAGCGTCTAAAGAGAAAATCGCTTCGAGAAATTTCCGAGTTAGCAAATCGGATCCACTCAACTATCCGCTATATATGTAGTAAAGCGATACAAAGACGGAAAGACGATTGAAAATAAGTCAAAAGTAGCCGGCAATGCAATGTTCTCGATGGCAAGCTCAAGAGGATGCACGAAAGAGGGTTTAGGAAAAAAACAATAAGACATAGGTTAAACTAGAGTGTTTTCAACGACACCACTTATCAATAAAAGATACAATCACTGCAGATGCCGCTGTGATTCGCCAAGGAACACCAAGCAAAAGACTTGTCATGACGAAAGCAAGCCCACTGAAAAGATCAAATGATGCGCTCCTTGCCATAAATATGGAGCCAACAGTAAAGCCCGGCAGTGCATCGGCTATAGTGTAAGGTTCATTTTCTACCTCTGGGCCGGGTGTACTGCATTTTGTTGAGGGCATTACGGGTCAGAACATGTGCTGTAATGTTTTGAAAGAAAGTGTGTCGCTTTGCAAGGAAAAGCTTTTTCTTGGTCACTTTAACCATAAGGCTTACAATGTGCGATCGCGATTGTATGTAATTGTCCGCATGTCATGGATACGTCAGGCCAGAGTCGAGACATAAATCCTATGGGGATATTCTGAAAATTCCTATTTTCACGTAATAAGAAAGATCAACACATTACTTTAGGTGCACGAGTACCGCAAAGCCATTACAAGTTACGCAACGTCTCGGCAAAAATGTGGAAAGACGTCGCACGATTTTCGCAGTGCGTGTAAGCCGTTGGGGTCGGAGAGTCATTGCATTATGTTGTACTGGTTCCATCAATACGTACCGCAACCTAAACGGTTTGGTTTGCATGCCTTGCCATGCATGCCTAGACCTCCCGGTTAAGGATTCTTATGAATCTCGCTATCTTCTTTGCTTCGGAACACTTTCCTGTCTCCTCGTTTTCTATGAAAAATGGGATGGGAAGTTTTTATCGTCCCTTCGGTATCCGAGATATCTATTTCTTTCAGATAGTGTCAGAAGTGTGTGATCTGTCATTAGCTTTTAAAGTCTGGTGAAACGGTTAATAGCAGACGCTACTCATACCCATAGAAAAAGCAGCATATTTTCGCACGTCATCCGTCCAGCATAACCAGTTCGCGATACCTTGGACGCACTCCTACTGGCAAATGTTAGTCTATGCGGCGTCTATGCGTCCAACTTGACTCCCTTTGAACGTTGGTATTATGAGAAATTCTTATGAATTCGTCAATAGCGGCAACATCTACGTATGTATTATCCTACCGCCATATTAAGCGAGTTCTTATATACATTATAGCTTCAATAACCGCAGATTTGCAGATAAAATCTTGTCATATTTTA